TGGTGGCAGGAAAGAGAGAATGAGAACGAAGCAAACGGGGTTTCCCCTTATAAAACCATCAGATTTTGTGAGACATGTTCACTACCATGAGAACAGTATGGAGGAAACTGTCCCCATGATTCAATTATCTCCCACCAGGTCTCTCCCACACCCTATGGGAATTATGGGAGCTACAATTCAAGATGAGGTTTGGATGGGGACACAGCTAAACCACATCAGTATAAGATAAATTTTTAAAAATATAACTTAGGTTTCAAATACCAGATTATATAACACAGAGTGAAGACGAGAAAGGAAGGTAAAAGTAAAAATGTTAAATTCTTTATGTTTACAAAGAAAGGAATATATTGCAAATTTATACACTGTTTTGACAGATTCTTAGAAAATGTGAATAATCATAATACAATTAAAAGCAAAATGCCTAACTTCTAAAACATTGAGGGAGATAAAAATAAAAATGTATGCAATGGTTCATATAACAAACTACAATTTAGAAACACAAACACACACACACACACACACAGAGAGAGAGAGAGAGAGAGAGAGAGAGAGAGAGAGAGAGAGAGAGAGAACACAAGGAGCCACACAGAACAGGTATAAATCTCAAGCCATAAACTGGAGTATTAAAGGAATTTAATTTTCCTTTTCTTTGGCTTAGTTTCTATTCTGATGCCTCATTTCTTCCTGGATAATGGACAATTTTAATCTCAGATGTTAAGTGATGCTGCTGCTTGCCCTGGTATTGCAGCAATATTCTGAGAGGTTTATATAATTGTGCAAAGGCAGGCAATCCAGTCCCTGAGAAAAACACAGTTACATTATTGCTGAAATCCACACAACTCCAGTTTGCATAACCTCTTCAAGTCTTGTAGCTTTCTTTTTCTTTTTTGAGACAGAGTCTCACTCTGTTGCCCAGGCAGCAGTGCACTGGTGTAATGTCGGCTCACTGTAATCTCCGCCTCCTGGGTTCAGCCTTCAGAGTAGCCAGGACTACCCACCACCATGCCCAGCTAATTTTTGTATTTTTTTTTTTTTTTTTTTTTGAGACGGAGTTTCGCTCTTGTTACCCAGGCTGGAGTACAATGGCGCGATCTCGGCTCACCGCAACTTCCGTCTCCTGGGTTCAGGCAATTCTCCTGCCTCAGTCTCCTGAGCAGCTGGGACTACAGGCACGCGCCACCATGCCCAGCTAATTTTTTGTATTTTTAGTAGAGACGGGGTTTCACCATGTTGACCAGGATGGTCTCGATCTCTTGACCTCGTGATCCACCCGCCTCGGCCTCCCAAAGTGCTGGGATTACAGGCTTGAGCCACCGCGCCCGGCCTGTATTTTTAGTAGAGACGGGGTTTCACCATGTTGGCCATGCTGGCCTCGAACTCCTGACCTCAGGTGATCTACTTTGATCCTGCCCTTCCAAAGTGCTGAGGTTACAGGTGTGAGCACCATGCCCAGCCAAGTCTTGTAGCTTTCTAATTCCACACTTCAGATAGGGAATAGGAATTTTTCTGCAAATTTTCTGAGTGCCCATGACCTAAGTTCACAGCCGTCAGAGATCCTGTAGCTTTTCTCAGTGGCTCTGCAAGGAAGCATTATAGTACATTAACCTCTAGTTTGCAGTTTAGCACAATGTTTACTGCAGTGAAAGGTATTTTTATACTAAGTTGTATGTGCAGTAAACCAAAATGCTACACATATAAATGAGGCATCAGAATATTACTGGAGGAAATTTTTTTAAATGAGGAAGACTAAGTCTTGGGTTTGAAAACGTTCCCTCTTTCTCCAGGGTATGTGGAGTAAGTACCAGATATTTTGGTCTTGGCCCTCCTAGATCCCATGTCTTCTCATCCAGGAGTTCGAGGCCAGCATGGCCAACATGGTGAAACCCCGTCTTCTCAGGATGCTTAAATATCTTTACTGGTTTAGTCTCAAAGTCTATTCCAATTTATCAGAGTTAATTACTAATGTACATATGGGTCTGGGGAATTGCATGAAATACAAGCCAATATTAACAGAAGTCATTATTTTAGTATATTGCCTAACACCACTGAACATACCTCATTGCAGATCCTCATCTGCCTCCAATTATACTCCCACAGCTGTGGGTAAATAGGTATTACTTAAGTGGGAGTATAAAAAAAAAAAAGAAATGCTGTTTTATCTCTTAGTATATTAAATAGTTACAGTACTGAAAATATGTCTTTTGTGCCATCCTCCTTGAATTTTCACCAGTTGCCAAGCTTTTTCCCTCCTCCAAATTCCTACTGGGCTTTGGTCCTCTTTTGATAGTTTCAATATATACATATTTTTTTTTTTTTACACATTTTATCTCAACTTGTTGAGAGAAAATTGGGAACTGGCAAGTAACTAAATCCTTGGAAAAAAGACAAGGCATGAGATAGTATCCCCAAACAAATCCTACTCTTTGTTTTCTACTTACTTAAGGTACTATCAGGGAGGTACACAAAGAAATGCCAACCTTGGAAGGCTGAAATATCACATATCCATATACAGACTTACAGCATAAATCATATATCTAGTCATCCCCACTCACTCTGCAAACTGATTAAATTCTTCCAAATCATCATTTAATCAAGTGACTTTCCTGTTCAAGAGTGTATTGGCTTAAGTTGCTCATTTTATAATACACTGGAATTAAATATGGTACTTTTTTTTTTTTTTTGAGACGGAGTTTCGCTCTTGTTACCCAGACTGGAGTGCAATGGCGCGATCTCGGCTTACTGCAACCTCCGCCTCCCGGGTTCAGGCAATTCTCCTGCCCCAGTCTCCTGAGTCGCTGGGATTACAGGCACACGCCACCATGCCCAGCTAATTTTTTGTATTTTTAGTAGAGACGGGGTTTCACCATGTTGACCAGGATGGTCTCGATCTCATGACCTCGTGATCCACCCGCCTCGGCCTCCCACAGTGCTGGGATTACAGGCTTGAGCCACCGCGCCCGGCCAAATATGGTACTTCTAATAATGACTTCTTCCAATCAGTGCAAACTGGGCTCCCACTTATTTCCTATCATACACATCTCCGTATCCTAAAGCTTTATCCTTCCTGCTCGGCGCGTTGGCACCTTCTGTTTCTCCCACTAGAATATTCCTTGTACTTAATCAGATCTTACCTATGACCACTGCAGAACTACAGGCACGTGACTATTCCATCCACACCCCTGCGCTCAGAGACTTGCCCAAACTCTAGCACAGCTTTAGCAGCATAAGGCCCTGTGCCCACGACGACTGCTTCAGAAAGCTGAACCACGTGATGTAACCAGCACACAACTGACCATAGGTCTCTGACCTTCCTTTCTTAGAACATTTACTAAAGGGCTTGCAATTGTAAATGCTTATTTCTTGCCACTCAGAAGTTCTCTCTCAAGGACCTGAGAGAGCCATTCCCTTGAAATGTAATCAAGGATAATTCCCCCGTAGGATGAAACAATCCTAACTTAGTTAACTGTTAAACACACATACAAATTACACTAACAGCTCTGTACGTTTTCACTTTCTCTACTGAGCTCCTGCACAACTTCTTTCTCCTTTTAAAATGCCCAGATCACCTCTGCACAAATTGAAATAGAGCTCAGCTCTTTCTTGTCAGTAGTTAGCTGAATAAAATGCTTTCACCGCTTTAACGTTCAGCTGTGCTTATCTTTGACATCGGCTACCTAAGGTTTACCTTTAGTCCCACGACTCTGACAAAACGTCTCAATATTGGTGTAAAATGACCTCCCCTTTCAGGGGGTCTTCCAAAGCACTTCCTGTCTGCGGCATATAAAATGAATTGGCACAAAATTTTAAGCTTACTGAGTTTTTTTTTTTTTTTTTTTTTAATAAAGATGGGGGTTTCACCACTTTGGCCAGGCTGGTCTTGAACTCCTGGCCTCAAGTGATCCGCCCGCCTCGCCTTCCTAAAGTGCTGGGATTATAGGCGTGAGCCACCGCACCTGGCCGCTTACTGAGCTTTAAAAACACCACGTCACATCCGCACATTCAGGACACACACTGGTTTTTCGGATTTAAAAAAAACCAACTAGCTAAATACCCATTCCCCTCAATAACTCAGATGAGGTCTCTAAAAAGGGTCGGCCTTCGGTACCTTTCGGTCCTCTCCCCTCTCGCTGTTTGCCTACATAGGCTTCCTCGCCTTTCCTTTTCCTCACGTTTATGGGAGCAAAAACAAGCAGGGTTTGGCGGCCTCTTTTCCAAGACCTAACCCGGTATGAGAAAAGCGAAAATGCGAAGCAAGACTACACGAGTCCGCCAACCCGGGCTCACTCGCGACCCTAGAGGGAGGGATGTGGCTGCAGGAAGGCTCCTCGCGGCGGGTCGGGATTTCCGGGGTCACGGAGCCTGCAGGAAAACGGAATAAAGTCCCCCCAGAGAGGTAAGAGGAGCGTGGGACAGCAAACGGGACTACGCGGAGAAGAGGAAGGGGCACACTGGAACGGAGCACAGACGCAGAGGGGCTTCCGGAGGGGAGCGGAAATAAAGGCACTCAAAGCTGAAAAGCGTGTGTAGGGGAGCGGAAAAGGAAGTCACCGACCCGGCCTGCGGGGCTGTGCGGTCGAAAGAGTTGGCCTTAGGGCTTCAGTTAAGTGTTGTCAGTGGGAAAATTCTACAATATCGCGGTGGAATAGACTTTAGCGCTCGCTTCTCCAAACGTATCCCAGACGGCGAGCTTCGCCGGCTCCGCGGCTCGTCCGATACAAGCGCCGCGCAGGCCTCCCCTCTGCTGGACTTGGGGACGCGGTGCCTAGCGCCACGGGCCGACGAGGGGTAGGAGGGCGTGGGGAAGAGATGAATAGATCTTGCCGGAGCAAGCTGAGAGATCGCGTCCTTACACTTTCAAAAGCATAAGGAGGCTTGCTTTCTACACACTGATTTAATTTCGGAATACTTTCAAGGCTCTGTGCTAAGTTAGGTAATATTCTCTGTGACCTCTATAATTGATTTTATGTATAAAATTGTCTTGCTTAACTAAAACTTATTTGTATTGTGCAGCCAACTCTTCAAGAACGAAAAATGAGCAATTCCATTCTGGTAGAGGTTCTTTCATTGGAGAATTTTTGAGCTGCGGTAATCCTTTTAACGCTGCACACACGTACAGGGATTACACATGTAGGGGATTAAAACCACAGTTAAGTTATAGGTTGAAGGGGCTGTTAAGGACTTAAGGCAACGTCTAAATCAACACTCCCTTTGTTCTTTTCTCTATTCCACACCTGGGAGTCCCCTGTATCTGGAAGCTGTGGCTCTAGATCCTAATGGTATAGAGAGGAAATGGACAAGGATAGTAAAAACAAAGGACCCCTTCTTAGAAGAACTAGCATTCTCTTGGAAGAGCGAAGCTTGCCATGAGATGTATGTTTGTGAAATCTACGAGGGGAGGGAGCAGCCTCGTAATAAAACGGGTGATCCTTTCTTGACTTCTTATTGGGTTCTGGTCTGAATGGTGACTGTATAATCATCTGGGACGACTGCAATGATTAACATTCCCCGAAGGGAAGCCAGCCTGTGAGGAGGCTTGGTGTGGAAACTGGGTGAGTTGGGAGAATAATAAATAGGGTAGATGCAGGTCTGATTTGTGGCCAGATTCTTAAACCCCTACATGGAATTTAGCCTTAAGAAAATTGTCATTAGGCACTGCAAATGCCCTCTTGCAGTTAAGTCTAATGGGAAGAACTGGTTAAAGAACTAATTACAGCAAAACGTGAGTCAGAATGGTGATGAAAGATACAGATGTGAGAGTAGACAGTGAGGGGACTTTATATAGTCTAGATGTTAGAGGACATGATTGGAAGTTACTCTGAGGAAGACAAAAATGTAACAGATCATATATGCAAAAGCTTGAAATGACGAGAAAATCAAAGATTTCAGGAACTGAAAGTTGTGCATTTTGGCTGTGTGAGGGGGAGAGTTGTGTGGGTGACATGTAATGAACCTTGAAAGGTAGTTTATGACAGCCTAAAACCGAATCAGAACTTTTAAAAACAGGTGATATATATATAGACAGTCTGAAATCAAATGCTTCTGATTTTTATTACATGCTGAAGAGGAGTAGAGATTCCTCAGCTAGGAGTGATGGATGGAGAAGTTGTGGCTCTTTGGCAAGCTAACCAGAGGCCACTGAAAGAGAATTTATTTGGCCGACTATGATACCCTCACTTGTAGCCACATATCCTGGGTTTGCATTTCTTAAAAACCCAATAGTGAAATCTTTCAATCTTTCTTTATTTATTTCTTTTGTTTGATCTGACGTGTCTCACCCTGTTACCTTGTCTGGAGTGCAGTGGCAAGATCTCGGCTCACTGCAACCTCTGTCTTCTGGGTTCAAGTGGTTTTCCTGCCTCAGTCTCCCGAGTAGCTGGGATTACAGGTGCCTGCCACTATGTCCAGCTAATTTTTGTATTTTTAGTAGAGACGGGGTTTCGCCCTGTTGGCCAGGCTGGTCTCGAACTTCGGACATTAGGTGATCCACCCACCTCGGTCTTCAGAGTGCTGGGATTACAGGCACAAGCCACTGCGCCTGGACTGAAATAGTTATTTTTTTTATTATTTTGTAAACATAGGTCTTATCTTTATTTTAGAAAATGATGACTAGCTACAGTAATACCTATGTAGTAATAACCACATGTGTGTCATTTAGTTCCACAAAAATTTAATGTAAAATTCTGTGCTTAGAGCTGTGAATAAGATGTAGTCCCTGTCCTGATTATCCCTAAAATACTACAACTTATCTCATGTACCTTTCTGTTATGTTTTCTGGTTGTGCATGAATTATTAAAAAATATCATTACCTTTAATAAGGATTCTTGCTTAGCTGCCAGAATTGTCAGCAAAGAGATTTCAGACATCTCTAGTCTTTAATTATCACCGATAGCTACTGAGTCAATATTTGTGTTCTTTGTTTACATTTCTGTTTGAAGAAGTAGAGTTCTTAAGAAACTAACTTTGCAACTAGCAGTTTAGGAAATGAGTACCTGGATAGGACATCTGTCAATATTTGGAATGATATTCTTCAATTAAAAAATAAAGTTTCCTGAGAAGTAAATGTAGCACACATATATAGAGAGTAAAATGTGTAAGGTGAGTTTAAAGAACAATGAAATAAATACCTGTGGATGTGAAACAGGAGCGGCCAAGAGAAACAGACCTCTTGGACACTGAACTAGGAAGTAAGAGGTGATGTATTTCAGCCAGGAGTAAGGTGACGTGGTTAACAGCCAAGCTTGTCTAACAAAGAGAAGCTCTGCCTTTTTATAGGCTTACAACTCTAGATATTACATGTGAAACGGTCTTGGGTTTACAGTATTAGAAATTACATGTGAAAAGGTCTTGGTTGATGGAGTAGGAGTGGAGTGGGGTTTGATCTTGTTTAAGTAAAAACAATGCCTCCCGGAAAGATTCCCCCATACTATGCCTGCTTCTATAGGAAGGCAAAATAAGGAGGCCAGCCTTTTCTTCTATTGAAATGCAGTGTGGAAGTCAAGGGGGAGGTGATCTTAGATGCTTGGGTCTCTTTCTTCAGATGCATTATTTGGTTAAGAAATAGAACATACCTGTATTCTGAAACTTTTTCAGCACCTGTTAGGTGACTCAACTGATATTTTTCTTCATTCTTCACATCTGTGTTTATTTTCTTTCTCGCAAAATGTAATGTAAATTTCAACTCAGTGAACAAAAGTAATTTGTTACAGAAGTAATAGTTAGCTGTGAAATACTAGTATTGCACTGTTTTATAACCATAAAAATTCTGGTTACACATATATGTTTGATAAATCTGGTTTCATATATGTGTGTGGGAGTATACATTTGATATTTACTCCCTAGCAGAGCTATGTTGCTTGATTTTGGTTGTACTTCTGCTTAGAATTTTAAAAATTAGAATGAAGGGAAAATGTAGCAGAAGCGGCCGTGAGAAACAGAGCTCCCGAACACCAATAACTCTTTTTATTTCTGAGAATGCAGCTAAATGTCTAGTTAAAATGTACTTTAAGTAATTCAAAAAATAATACCATCCTCTTTTGAAATATTTGTCTTAATTGCTAATCCAGTTATTATGTTTTTAAAATTTGTCTTTAAAAAAGCAAAGAGTTCCTCCTCCCCACCTCCCCTTCCTTTTCCTTAGGAAGAAAAAAAAAAAAGCAAAGAAAGCTTCAGAACTCATTTTGAATTATATAGTTTGGTACATTTTCCTATTTTTCTCACAGACTTTGACCAGTGAACTTGGTTCTAATTCTAAGGGTCGTAAAAGGGGAGGTGAAACAGAAAGAATAGTGGTTGAGTATGGAATGATTATGATTATGAATGGAGATTACAAACAAACTTAATAAATATATCCTGTCATGAGAATATAGGTATTGATGATGAAAAGAGTCAAACTCTGTAAAATATTTAAGAGATATATTCTGAGCCAAATATGAGTGCCTACGGCCTGTGACACAGCCCCCAGGTCCTGAGAACATGTGCCCAAGGTGGTTGGGGTACAACTTGGTTTTACATATTTTAGGAAGGCATGAGACATCAATCAAATACACTTAAGAAATACGTTGGTTTGGTTCAGAAAGGTGGGATAACTTAAAGTGGGGTTGCTTCCAGGCTATAGGTAAATTTTTACATTTTCTGGTTGACAATTAGTCGAGTTTGTCTAAAGACCTGGGATCCATAAAAAGGAATGTTCAGATTAAAGATTGTGGAGACCAAGTTTTTTGTGCAGAGGAATCTCTCAGCAGACTTCAGAGAGAGAGCAGGTTGTAAACTATTTCTTATCAGACCTAAAAGGGTGCCTGGCTCTTAGTTGATTATCTTCTGGATCTGGAAAGAAAGGAAGGAAAACAAGGAGGGAAGGGGATGCTCTATAGAATGTGGATTTTTCCCACAGGAGAGTTTACAGGGCAATTTCAAAGCCTGCCAAGGAAATATAATTTGGGATTAAATTTTTTTTTTCTTGGCTCCTAATGTTATGCCAGGGTCAGATTGAAAAGTAAGTCACGATATATAGGGTCAAATAAAATCCATCTGCTGAGAATTTATGGTTTGTAGGGCATGACTCCCTAGACTCCTTAGGTGGGAATTTCGGCAAGATAAAAAAAATCAGAGTTTAGTCCTCAGTGTGGTTAATTTGTTTCAAGCCCCATTGCTTGGCATTTCTCAATAATGTCTGAAATTTTTAGTTTAGGTTTCTTCTACTAGCTAAGAGGTTTTGAGACATTTACATTTGAATGATAGGAAGTGTCTAAAAGCCTTGGTGGTTTTTTTTTGTAACCACTTCATACTTTTTAATTGGTAACAACATTTTATTTGTAAAAGTACCCCCCCCTTCCATTTTTCATAGACCTGAATTTTCTATGCTTATCAGTTTATTTCTCCTTCAGGGTAAAATATTTTAAAAATACAATTCCATGTGCCTTAGAGCAAGAAAACTCTCAACAAAATGATTTGTTCTTGCCCAGGAAAGTTTTGCTTTCCAGTTAAAGAGATAGTTTATTTCACAAGAATAGCTCATTTTCTAATGATGGTGCATAACTAATGATAATAATTTCAGAAATACTTTCTTTCCATAAACAGAACTTTTACTACCCTCTGGGAAAGGAGGGAGATAGGTCTTTGAGCCAGACTGCAGTTTTGGGTACTGGAGATATATAAGGAAAAGAAATAAGTTAAATATGGGGAATAATATTCAACAAATGAGAATAATATTTGGAGGAAAATTTTTCAAATGAATCATTTGTTTAAAATGAAATTATTATTTAAGTATATGGCAGTAATTTTTGACATTTAAAAATTTTATTTAGTTTCACAGTATCCTCTCATTCTTCTATATGCCCAGTAATTTTATGTAGTACTGGTAAAGTATCTATTATTGCACTAAATTAGATGGTGGGAACATCTAGGATATCAACTTTTATTCTGCCTTTATTGTGTCACTATACATTTCCATGTTCTAATTAGGTTCCTTTATTTTGAAGTTTATTTAAAAAATCTTGCAAGGTCTCTTGAGTTTACTGAAAATATCCTGAAATGTTGCAAACTCATGTTTGATAATTGTTCCCTCTAGCTTTCTAGGTCTTCAGGAGGCCTTAGATACCTTAAAATCTGTTGATACAGTATCATTTTCTAATTTAACAGAACAGGTGATGGGATGGAAGGATGTCACACAAGGTATACTTATATGAGTTTTGGAAAAGGAGTATGGAATTGGCAACAGATGAAGACATTGAAGTATTGTTATAATTAAAATTTTTGGTGCCACAAAAGAGGTAGCTCTCGAATAAATTTCTTCAGCAAGGCAATTTACTTCTATAAAAGGGTGCGGCTCACAGACTGAACAATGGCAGGCACACACCTGGGCAAGGAAGGGGAAGGGGTACTTATGCCTGACGTAGGTTGCTCCTACTGCTATGTCATTCCCCTGTTGGTTAGAGTTAGACCACACAGTCTAGTCTAATTCCGATTGGCTATTTTAAAGGGAGTAGGGGTATGAGCCAGAGTAGTGGGGGTGGGTAGTTTGGCAGGAAGAATGGTTAGGGCAGGTCAGAGCAGGTAGCCAGGGGTCAAAGCAGGTGACCAGAGCAAGTGACCAGGATGAGTCAGGACAGAGCAGGGGACGGGGGGAACAGATGTGAACTACTGATTAGAACTGGTGGAAAAGGTTGTTTACTGAAACTACAAGGAAGTTAAACTTAAAAATGGAGAATTAAAGAATAAGAGAGCTGAACATGCTGACATACTGATTCTTTGAAGAGAAACTTGAGGATCACTATATCTAACAGTATTGAAAATACTAAATATTTAGGTATTTTGCAACTTGTAACATTTGGTCACTTTCCTTGCTTATTGGTTCTGTACATCAAATTGACCCAAACCTTGTTAATCACAATTCGTTAAGTGATAGATGACCACCCAATGCTTTCATTATTTATTCGGTAACCCTAGCTGCTGGCAACTGGTGACTTTTTTGGTGGGAGGGAGGGAGGATACAAAGACCAGGAGGAATTTGACATTAAGGGAAATAATAAAGTTATGACAGTTAAAAGCAGGTCCCAACAAAGACTTAGGATGGCAAGTTAGAATACCTTTTTTTCTTGGAAAAGTAACATCAAGTTTTGATCCTTAGACATCATTTTTTAAGATAACAATCATCTTGCTACTTTTTTTGCTAAACTCTAACGTGTAGTGTATTAGGTCACAGTTTATGAGTTAACACTTCAGTCTCCTTGAGATTTAAGAAACATCTTGGTGTCTTTAATATTGTAGTTATAAGCCACCTTCGTTGGTAAAGTTTTGAAATTCTGTTCCCAAGTTGTTGAAATATATCTGTTTGAGGGAATTACATCCTACTGTGTGTTCAGGTAAGTATTCATCTGAAACATTTTAGTAAAAATGTCACTTGAAGGCCAAGTCATTTAAAGTGGGAAGGGATATTGTATCCCTTTATGAGGTTTGTTCTCTGTTTCTGATATCATTTTATAACTCACATGTTAGATACATTTTTAAAGCTATAAAACAAGTTTGTGGCATTCGTTTTGGCTGTCTGATGAGTTATTTTTTTTACTTGCGTACATTTTCCCTCATTACTAAGTACCTTTTATATATTGAGTACTGTAGCCACTAGTGACACGAAGTATGCATCTAAGAATACTCTCAGGAAGCATCCTTCTACTGAGAAAAACAAATGAAAAAATGATTTGAGGAATGTGTTAAAATGGAACATTGTTATTGCAGTATGAGCTGGGATAAGTAAAGGGAGTGATTATCTTTTCTTGGAGATCCCTTTTAGGTAGAAATACAGAAATTCAGTTTTTAAAAACGATGTTGGATTTGCCAGGTTAATGAGGGAGGAAACAACATTATAGGGAAGAAGGGATAATTTAAAATAGCATGTTAAATTTGTGGGACTCTGGTTATTTGGTGTCCTGTGTTGATTGTGTTGCGATGTCAGAAGAGAAGAGGTGGCAGGGCACTGTGGCTAACGCCTGTAATCCCAGCACTTTGGGAGGAGGCCGAGGCGGGTGGATCACGAGGTCAAGAGATCGAGACTATCCTGGTCAACATGGTGAAACCCCGTCTCTACTAAAAATACAAAAAATTAGCTGGGCATGGTGGCGCGTGCCTATGATCCCAGCTACTCAGGAGGCTGAGGCAGGAGAATTGCCTGAACCCAGGAGGGGGAGGTTGCGGTGAGCCGAGATCGCGCCATTGCCCTCCAGCCTGGGTAACAAGAGCGAAACTCCGTCTTGAAAAAAAAAAAAAAAAAAAAGGCAAAAAATTAAATAAATAAATAAGAGAAGAGGTTCAGGATTAAGTTAAGAATTTAAAAAGAGCTTTGGACTTGATCCTTTTGGAAGAGAACTACCTAAAAACTTCAATTTAAAGTGTCCTGATTGGATTATAAATATATCTACGTTACTCTAAGGAATAGTATGCAATCAATTGGTGACTGCTGTATTAATCCAGATTATAGGTAATGAAGTTTGGACTATATTAGTAGTAGGAGGGGAAAAGATAAGAAAGAAGAAACCATTTTGGAGGTCTGTTGCATACGGGAGGTAGGGGAAGAGAAGGAGATTAGGCTGTCCAGAGGTTTTTTGGCATAGATTACAGGGTTGATGGTACAATGAATAGTTAAGGGAAAGAATTAAGAAGTAGTAGTGGGTTTCAGGTGAAGTATGAATTCAGGGTTAGATAATGATTTTGAGCCGGGCGTGGTGGCACATGTCTGTAGTTCTGGCTATTTGGGAGGCGGAGGCTAGAGGATCTCTTGAGTCCAGGAGTCCTGGGCTGTAGTGCGCTGTGCCAATCGGGTGTTCGCACTAAGTTCGGCATCAATGTATCAATATGGTGACCTCCCAGAAGCAGGGGACCACCAGGTTCCCTAAGGAGGGGTGAACCGGCCCAGGTTGGAAACGGAGCAGGTCAAAACTGCGGTGCTGATCAGTAGTGGGATCGCGCCTGTGAATAGCCACTGCACTCCAGCCTAGACAACATAGCGAGACCCTGTCGCTTAAAAAAAAAAAGAAGAGGAAGAAGTAAATTAAAAAGATAATGATTTTGAGAAGCTTGTGATATATCTAGAAATGAGAAGTAAGGGAATTGCATTTCTATGAGTTAGGCAATACTATGAGTTAGGAGTACAGGCATAGGGTCGAATTGGAGCTAAAAATGTGGGATTTGTGTCATGTAGGTTTTAGGATAATTGTGAGCAGGAGAATAAAAGATCTCTAACAAATTAATTAAAATATAAATAAATAGAAATAATGGGCCAAAAGCTTGCACATGAACGTCACAAAAGATTATATGCAAATGACCAACAAGCATAAGAAAATGGGGTTTATCTTTGTTAAATGTTATAGAAATACAAAATGAAACCACAATAAGATACCATCCACTAGAATGCATAAAATAGAAAAAACAGAACAAATGATGAGCTTGTGGAGCAACTGGAGCATTCACTGCCTGTGGGAATATACATTTTTACAGCCATTTTGAAACACTCTAGGACATTATCTTCTTTTTTTTTTGAGATGGAGTTTCGCTCTTATTACCCAGGCTGGAGTGCAATGGCGCGATCTTGGCTCACTGTAACCTCAGCCTCCTGGATTCAAGCAATTCTCATGCCTCAGCCTCCTGAGTAGCTGGGACTACAGGCGCGCGCCACCATGCCCAGCTACTTTTTGTAGTTTTAGTAGAGACGGGGTTTCACCATGTTGACCAGGATGGTCTCGACCTCTTGACCTTGTGATCCACCCGCCTTGGCCTCCCAAAGTGCTGGGATAATAGGTATGAGCCACCTTGCCCGGCCCACATTATCTTCTAAGGTTGAACAAATGCATACATTATTATTGGTGGTGTACGGGCAAACCCGTGTGTGTGTGTGTGAAAGAGAGAGAGAGAGAGAGAGAGAGAGCACGCGCGAGTCAGCATGATTGATATGTTCTATAGTCCCACCATGGTCAATTTCAACCTACCAATAGTTTAAAGAACCAACTTGCAAAATACTTAAATGTTTAATTGGCTGGGTGCAGTGGCTGGACACAGTGGCTCATGCCCACCCCCCCCAAAAAATAATGCACATCAGATTACTTCCTCTGCCCCATTGTTTAGGTAAAAATGCAGATTCACTGAGTCAGAGTAAATTGTGTATTCAGTAGGAGGCTGATCAGGTATTCAAAAGAATGCAACCTTTTGTCTATTATCTACCTATGGCCTGGAAGGACTCCCCCGCATCCACCTCCCCCTGCCCCTGGAAGTTTAGAGTTGTCCTGCCTTACCTCCATCAGAACCGGTGTACATCTGAACACATACCGATTGATGTCTCATGTCTCCCTAAAATGTATAAAAGCAAGTCATATCCTGACCACCTTGGGCACGTATCATCAGGACCTCCTGAGTCTGTGTCTTGGGCATGTCCTTAACCTCGGCAAAATAAACTTTCTGAATTGGTTGAGTCCTGTCTCAGGTATTTTGGTTTCACAAATAGAGTACAGCAATGAGGATAAGGGACTATTCAGACTCTGATTACATTTAACACTAATGGATGTTAACAAAATTGAAACCAGACATAAAATACATAGTTTTCAATTTATATAAAGTTCAAAAGTAATCTCGTGTATTAGAAGTCAAAAAGTTACCCTTACCGGAGGGATTTTGAAAGGTGACACATAGGACCTTGTGAGGTTCAAGTTGTGTTCTGTTTCTTGATTTGGGTACCATTTACTAGATGTATTCACCTTGTGAAAATTAATTGAATCAACAAGAATGTTTACATAGGGCAAGAAAAGCTTATGGGCAGAGATGAGATTACTCAGGAGGTATAAAGTAAGAGAAGTGACAGAGAACCTTGGGGAACACAGTAACCACACACACATTCCTATATCCTTCCCCATTTTTCTTAGGACTCTTTCCAGCTTTTTGCCTGAAGGCTTTGCAGAAGGTAAGAATAATGCCAAGAATAAAATTTCTGTTAGAGAGTGGGATTGCGTTTGTAGCATTTCTGCATAGAGGCTGTTTCCAAAGGGATACTTGGACTATATTTACTTTTAGATTTTGAAAAAGTTAAGGGCTGAAGAATAAAGAATCTGAGGCAAAAGGCTACCTGGAGGCAGGAGATGGTACAAAATACAGAGCAGTATTTTTTCTAAGCCTTCCTATTGTATTGGAGCACGGTAACTATACTGTAATTATTCTTTTTTTTTTTTTTTTTTTTTTTGAGAGGGGGTTTTGCTCTTGTTACCCAGGCTGGAGTGCAATGGCGCGATCTCGGCTCACCGCAACCTCCGCCTCCTGGGTTCAGGCAATTCTCCTGCCTCAGCCTCCTGAGTAGCTGGGATTACAGGCACGCGCCACCTTGCCCAGCTAATTTTTTGTAGTTTTAGTAGAGACAGGGTTTCACCATGTTGACCAGGATAGTCTCGATCTCTTGACCTTGTGATCCACCCGCCTCGGCCTCCCAAAGTGCTGGGATTATAGGTGTGAGCCACCGCGCCCGGCCTTATACTGTAATTATTCTATTGTCTCTCACTGATACATACTGGAATGATATGCTTTGTGAATCATTTGGTTTGAGAAGGAGGGAAAAATGAAAGGAATTTCATACTGATCATTTCCTGTAACAGTGCTTTTAAAAATGGGGAAGTGGCTAGGTGCCACGGCTTACACTTATAATCCTAGCACTTTGGGAGGCTGAGGTGGGTGGATCATTTGAGACCAGCCTGGTCAACATGGTGAAACCTTGCCTCTACTAAAAATACAAAAATTAGCTGGGTGTGGTGATGGGCCCCTGTAGTCCCTGCTAATTGGGAGGCTGAAGTATGAGAATCGTTTGAAGCCGGGAGGCAGAGGTTGCAGTGAGCCGAATTTGCCCCACTGTACTCCAGCCTGGGCTACAGGGCGAAACTATGTCTCAAAAAAAAAAAAAAAAGAAAGAAATAGTGAAGTATTCACAATTCACCAGAAGTGTCCATTACTACAGCCTATTAACACATAATATTAGAAAAGTGAGTGCCTATTCATCTGTGCTACTGCATACTTATTTCTCTTTTCCAGAAATGGCAACAAGTCTTTTGAAGACATCGCCTCTGTCTGTAAGGACAAAATTGCTACATCAAACAAGTTTGTCACTTTATAATACATCCCATGGATTTTATGAGGAAGAAGTGAAAAAAAAACTTCAGCAGTTTCCTGGTGGAAATGTTGACCTTCAGAAGGAAGACAATGGCATTGGTATTCTTACTCTGAACAATCCAAGTAAAATGAATGCCTTCTCAGGTATTAAGAATCTTTTCATTCCTAAAGAACCACACTAAATCTAACCTGTTATCACATGTTTTTTATCCTTGCTCTGGTGACAGTATGTTTTAAAGTCCTGGTACTTTTGGTAGAACATGAGAAAAATAACAATAAAAACAGCAACTCTATAATATGAACCAGAAACACTAAGTAATTTTTCAATAATTATGGATATTTGAAAGTTTTCAGAAAACTCATTAATACAGATGTTGATAAAAAGGAAACCTAAATTAATCTTGATTATATTTTTCATCGAAATTCATTAGCTTTTTAGTAACTTCATTTGTTTTCAGCTTCTGCTACTAGGGAACAAGGCGAAAGAGGTTTCAAAGAGTTCCTGAAACTAAAGAGAAAAGCCTGTGAATGAAAAGAATTATTTAGGCTAATTTTTTTCTGTGAATTGAGATAAAATCAGTTAGTTTTTAATCTTTTAGCTCCATTATTAACAGAAGAAACAGCACTTGTCTAGCTGTGGACTCCTCCCTAACTCTTATATACTGGTGAGTGCCTTTTATTTTCTAGTCAACACAGAGAACTAAAGATGCAGGACATGTGGTAATTTGTCATTTTTGCTGGGGCTCAGATTTGACTTATGCTACCACTATATTATACAAGAGCTAATGAGTAGCTTTGCTGAATACTCACCACTCGCATTTTCTTTCTCTCTTTTTTTGCGTTTTTTTGATTTTTAATTTTTTTTTTAAATTTTATGTTTTTTATTCACCTGGAACACAAAGGCAAACCACTTGCATTTTCAAGTTGATTTTAGTAATCTCTCCTTTTTGGTTATGCACTACATGATTATAATCTCTAGTAGCATTTGAAATTTGGGGTTCAGAAAAATCTCACAAAATTTTCATGTATCTACTTTACATACAGTCATACTATAGACATAATTGAATAGTCTGTAAACTTTGTAAATTACTAATGGTGAGTCTTTAAACCCAAGATGACTTTACTCTCCATTTAATAGAATTCAGAGATATTTCTGTATACCACTGCTGACCAATGAAAGCATAATGCAAAAACAAATTTGAGTCATATGTGCAATTTTAAGTATTCTAGTAGCCAGAGTTTAAAAAAAATGAAAAAACAGGTAAAATTATTTTTAACAATTCATTTTCTATTAATCTGGTATTTATTTTATACTTACTACATGTCTCAATTTGGACTAGCCACATATCAAGTGCTCAATACATACAGGTGACTAGTGACTACCTTATTAGACTTTGTAGCTCCATATGTTCAGTTGGCTTAGAGAATAAAAACCAATTTAATGTTAGTCCAGGAAAGATAGAAATTGAAGGGTAAAATTTCTCTAAAGGGTTAAATTAGATCAATAGTGATGATTTGTTTCTGAAAAGTTATGAATATTTTTTCAATCAGAAACATTATTTTAATGCATAATATATAAAACTAGTAATAGCAAACCTGTTTTGATTTGAATAATGGTATTTGATGAAGCTGGGTTGGGAGAGGATGAATGAGCACTTAGACCCTTGTTTAAAAATCATTCAGTTAGATACTCTTTAAGATCTCTTCCATCTTTTGAGATTTATTTTACAAAGTCAAAAGATTTTTTTTTTTTTTTTTGAGTCGGAGTTTCGCTGTTGTTACCCAGGCTGGAGTGCAATGGCGCGATCTCGGCTTACCGCAACCTCTGCCTCCTGGGTTCAGGCAATTCTCCTGCCTCAGCCTCCTGAGTAGCTGGGATTACAGGCAGGCGCCACCATGCCCAGCTAATTTTTTGTAGTTTTAGTAGAGACGGGGTTTCACCGCGTTGACCAGATGGTCTCGATCTCTTGACCTCGTGATCCACCGGCCTCGGCCTCCCAAAGTGCTGGGATTACAGGCGTGAGCCACCGCGCCCGGCCAAAAGATTATTTTAACAGTAACTACTGGTATGAATTTTTCTTATTCTCACGGCCAGCATTTCCGCATCTTAAGAAAGGTTCAAAGAAAAATCAGCGCCATAAGGAAGGTTTTTTTTTTTAAAAAAAGGCCAGCATTGTTTTTTAGAAGCTTAAATATTGTGAATGATTAAAGGTTCATATTAACCTATACAGATTGATTCTTTTACTAAAAGTGTGGGTTTCTTCTTTTCCCTTACTAGACCGTAAATCACTTGAGAGGCAAGAATGATATTTCTTTTTTTTTTTTTTTTTTTGAAGACGGAGTTTCACTATTGTTACCCAGGCTGGAGTGCAATGGCGCGATCTCGGCTCACCGCAACCTCCGCCTCCTGGGTTCAGGCAATTCTCCTGCCTCAGCCTCCTGAGTAGCTGGGATTACAGGCACGCACCACCATGCCCAGCTAATTTTTTGTATTTTTGGTAGAGACAGGGTTTCACCATGTTGACCAGGATGGTCTCGATCTCTTGACCTCGTGATCCACCTGCCTCGGCCTCCCAAAGTGCTGGGATTACAGGCTTGAGCCACCATGCCCGGCAAGAATGATATTTCTAAAGCATCTAGAACATCCTTGGAAAGGGTTACAGTTTTAAATTCAGTCATTTATTGCTTTGTGATGGGGATACATTCTAAGAAATACGTTAGGTGATTTTGTCATTGTGTGAACATTGTACAGTGTACTTACACTTAGATAGCATAAACTATTATGCACCTGTACCATGTGATATAGCTTCCTGCTCCTAGGCTACAAAACTATTTAGTGCGTTACTTCCTGAATACTATAGGCAACTGTAATACAAACGTGAATAATGCATTGTACCACATTACAATGGCTATGACTGTTACTAATTAGGTAATAGGAATTTTTTAGCTCCATTATAATCTTTTTTTTTTTTTTTTTTTTTGAGACGGAGTTTCGCTCTTGTTACCCAGGCTGGAGTGCAATGGCGCAATCTCGGCTCACCACAACCTCTGCCTCCTGGGTTCAGGCAATTCTCCTGCCCCAGCCTCCTGAGTCGTTGGGATTACAGGCACGCACCACCATGCCCAGCTAATTTTTTGTAGTTTTAGTAGAGACGGGGTTTCACCATGTTGACCAGGATGGTCTCGATCTCTTGACCTCGTGATCCACCCGCCTCGGCCTCCCACAGTGCTGGGATTACAGGCTTGAGCCACCGTGCCCGGCCGGCTCCATTATAATCTTAAGGAACCACTATGACATCGTTGGTGCATGACAGTATGTCATAATTAGCCATTAGAAAGGATAGTTAAATTAGTCATTTGTGAGTTAATACCATTAATATAACATTTATTGTGGAACCACCTCACTCCTGGTTACTTTAGTAAATGGCAAAGGAAATAATAGTTCTTGACATTGTGGGATTTATATTCCAAAGAAGTGTACTTGAGGTACAAATTTTTTTGCCAGTTTTAGCCCCCTATTATGATCTTTATACATTGGCTTCTAAAGCATTTCCTAGGCAGAAGAAAATAAAATTAGTCGTGTTGAAAGCCATGCAATTTTTTTTTGTTTGTTTTGTTTTTGTTTTTGTTTTGTTTTGTTTGAGATGGAGTTTCGCTCTTGTTACCCAGGCTGGAGTGCAATGGCGTGATCTCGGCTCACCGCAACTTCCGCCTCCTGGGTTCAGGCAATTCTCCTGCCTCAACCCCCTGAGTAGCTGGGATTACAGGCACGCGCCACCATGCCCAGCTAATTTCTGTATTTTTAGTAGAGATGGGGTTTCACCATGTTGACCAGGATGGTCTCGATCTCTTGACCTCGTGATCCACCCGCCTCAGCCTCCCAAAGTGCTGGGATTACAGGCTTGAGCCACCGCGCCCGGCTGAAAACCATGAATTTTATGAACTTGGAAGATCACCAAAGATAAGCATATCTAAAAGTTATTGATTAGATCTTAAAATGCCAGTCCCAGCTGTTTCTATTTTAAATTTGACTATTATAAAGAAGCTCCAATAGAATTTTGGTTCATATTAAGGTAACAATCTATAAGCCATAGAATCAATGGTTGGTAGGCCTGTGAAGAACTTCCATAGTATACCTCAAGCTCCTCAGAGGACAATTTGTCAACCATGGATCAAGATGGTATTTATTACTCATTCCTGAGCTAATATCTTATTATACTAATTCTGATGTCAGTAGCATAGGAATCACACTTTGTTCTGTATACCATATGTCCAATATATCATAAGATCTCGTAGTTATGTTATACCCATAAAGCTTTACTGACTGAGATAAGATGTATTGCTGAGAAGTCAGGTCTATGTTTTATCTTTACCCTAAGAAATAATTTTTCCTTATTACCATATCATCATTTTCTTATTCTTAGGACAGCATGGTATATTCTTTTTTTTTTTTTTTTTTTTTTTTTGAGACAAAGTCTCGATCTATCTACAGGCTGGAGTGCAGTGTTGTGATCTTGGCTCACCACAACCTCCAACTCCTGGTTCAAGCAATTCTCCTGCCTCAGCCTCCTAAGAGGCTGGGATTACAGACATGTGCCACCACACCCAGCTAATTTTTGTATGTGTAGTAGAGACAGAGTTTCACCATGTTGATCAGGATGGTCTCTATCTCCTGACCTCATGATCCTCCTGCCTCAGCTTCCCAAAACTCTGGGTATAGGAGTGAACTACTGCGCCTGGCCTAGTATATTCTTATTCTTCTTCCTAATCATATATTTGTGTCATTTCTTAAGATAGATGGAGAGATAGACACATAACAAAATTAAATTTACAATGCAGGACCTGCCATATATACCTCTTCTGTATACTCCATACTCCCAGCACAATAGGCATTTGATAGACATTCAGTAAATATTTATAAAATATAGAACCTAAGAGTATGCTTGACACCTTATGATTTATAAATAATTTCTATTTTTCCAGTTGCCTTCATATGCTTGTGATTTCCCCCTCCCATCTTTGGCAGGTGTTATGATGCTACAACTTCTGGAAAAAGTAATTGAATTGGAAAATTGGACAGAGGGGAAAGGCCTCATTGTCCGTGGGGCAAAAAATAATTTCTGTTCAGGATCTGATCTGAATGCTGTGAAAGGACTAGCAAATCCAGAGGCAAGTGTTCTATGAATTATGCATTAGATTCTACTTGTTTATTATATATGTATGGCTGAGACATTTATATTTTCCTTATGGTTATTATGATGACTTTAATAACTTTCAAAGGATTATAGGGAGTTTTTTGGTTCATTTGTTTTGTTTTTGGTAGAATTACAGGAGGAACAGTATAAGAGAAACAAATGATTCTAATTTTTTACTAATAGGGTATCTGCTAAGGGCTCTTGTTAAAAGGTTTAAAATTATTCTTTCTAGTTTAGCAGGACACTCTCAGTTATGTTTGATATTTTGGAGGATGGGATTCTCTCTCTCTCTTGCTGTTAATGTTACTCCCTTCTCCAATGCCTCACATTTGTCTCTTTATTTTTAAGGTGTATTGATTAAAAAAAAAGATTTTTAAATTTTAGAATAATTTTAAATTTATAGAAAAGCTGCAAATGCAATTCAGACTTCCTATACGCTGTGCATCCAGTTTCTCCTTTTGTTAACATCTTATATTCCTATGGTACATAGATTTGTTGCTACTAATGAACCAATGTAATAGTCTGTTCTCACACTGCTATAAACCTCTACCTGAGACTGGGTAATTTATGAAGAAAAGAGGTTTAATTGACTTACAGTTTTGCACGTTGTACAGAAACATGGGTGGGAGGCCTCAGGAAACTTACTATTATGGTGGAAGGCAAAGGGGAAGTAAGCACATCTTACCATGGCAAAGCCAGAGAGCTGGGGGAGGTGCCACACACTTTTAAACAACAAGGTCTCATGAGTACTCATTCACTGTCGCAAGAACAGCAATGGGGAAATCCACTCCCATGATCCAGTTACTTCCCACCAGGCCCCTCCTTCAACACTGGGAATTACAATTTGACATGAGATTTGGTTGAGGGACACAGAGCCAAACCATATTAACCAACATTGATACTTTATTATTATTATTATTATTATTATTATTTTTTTTTTTTTTTGAGACAGAGTTTCACTCATGTTACCCAGGCTGGAGTGCAATGGCGCGATCTCGGCTCACCGCAACCTCCGCCTCCTGGGTTCAGGCAATTCTCCTGCCTCAGCCTCCTGAGTAGCTGGGATTACAGGCACGTGCCACCATGCCCAGCTAATTTTTTGTATTTTTAGTAGAGACGGGGTTTCACCATGTTGACCAGGATGGTCTCGATCTCTTGACCTCGTGATCCACCCGCCTCGGCCTCCCAAAGTGCTGGGATTACAGGCTTGAGCCACCGCGCCCGGCCCTGATACTTTATTATTAATGAAACTACTGTATGATTTCACTTATATATGGAATCTGAAATAGACAAACTCTGCCTAGCATGGGTGGCTCACACCTATAATATGAATGCTTTGGTAAGCTGAGATGACAGGATTGCTTGAGGCCAGGAGTCCAAGACTAGCCTGGGCAACATAACCAGTCCTTGTCTCTACAAAAAAATATACAGAATTAGCCGGATGTGGTGGCATATGCCTGTAGTCCCAGCTACTTGGAAGGCTGAGGTGTGAAGATTGCTTGAGTCCAGGAGTTTAAGGCTTCATTGAACCATGGTGGTGTCACTGCACTCCAGCCTGGGTGACAGAGTGAGATCGTTTCTCAAAAAAAAACAACAAATAGTGAAACTCACAGAAACCAAGACTGGAATGGTGATTTCCAGGTGTTTGGTGGTGGGGATGGGCAGGGATCAATCTTACGTGCTTATGTTACACATACACACAAAATTAATAATAATCATAGTAATAAAGGGGTGGGAGGAAACTTTGGGAGGTTATGAATATGTCTAGGGCCTTGGTGGTAATAGTTTAATGACTGTACACTTAGCCACACACTCCTCAAGTTGTATACATTAAATATGTACAGCTTTTTACATGTTAATCATAATTCAACAAAGTGGTTAAAAAAACCAAAACTCCACACTTCATTCATGTTTTAGTAGTTTTTCTACTGTTGCCCCTTCTCTGCTGCAGGATCCCATCTGGGATACTACAGTACATTTAGCTGTAATGTTTCAGATTCCTCTTGTCTGTGACAGTTTCTCAGACTTACCTTGTTTTTCATGACGTTGGCAGTTTTGAAGAGTACTGGTCAGATATTCTGTAGAATATCCTTCAAATGGAATTTGTCTGGTGTTTTTCTCGTATTACATTGGGGTTATGGGATTCTGAGAGAAAGACCAGAGGTAAACTTCTGTTTTCATCACATCATATCAAGGGAATTTATGCTGTCAAGATGATTTATCACTAATGATGTTAACCTTGGTCACCTGGCCAAGATAGTGTTTGCCTTGTTGCTCTACTTTAAATTTACTTTCCAAACTCTACTCCTTGGAAGCAAGTCACTAAGTTTAGTCTACACTCAAAGGGGAAGGGAAAATAAGTTTTATCTCCTGGAGGGTGGACATATATGTCCATTATTCTTCTGTAAGGGGATTTGGGTCTACTCCCCATTTATTCGCATACTTATTTATTCAGTTATTTATTTATGTCAATATGCACTCATGGATATTTATTTTAGATGCATTATTTATTTTTAATAATTTTGTTTTTTGAGACAGAGTCTCACTCTGTCTTCAGGCTGGAGTGCAGTGATGCAGATCTCTGCTCACTGCAATCTCTGCCTCCAGGTTCAAGCGATTCTTCTGTCTCAGCCTCCCATGTAGCTGGGATTACAGGCATAAGTTACCATGCCCAGCTAATTTTTGTGTTTTTAGTTGAGACAGGGTTTCACTGTGTTGGCCAGGATAGTCTCGATCTCTTAACCTCATGATCTGTCTGCCTTGGCCTCCTAAAGTGCTGGGATTACAGGCATAAGCCACCACTCCCAGCCCTGCATTATTTATTTTATTGCTCAAATTGTTCCAGGTTTGGCCACTGGGGGCCCAAAGACCCAAAGTCCTGTCTTCCTTTGACACTCCCCTATCATTTTGGTTTTTTGAGTACTGCCTTACTTTCTAGTATTATAAGATATTCCAGTTTAATCTTGTATTTTCCTTGCTGCAATTATATAATCAATGATTTCTTCAAGAAGTCCTGTTCATGGAAAGTGGTAGAGGATGGTGTTAGATACTAAGATCTAGGTGTTAGTTGTTTCTGTTTTCCAAGTATGTTGATATAGCACATTCCTGGGTTATTTGAGCCTACCTTAACTGTAATAGGATAAAGAAAAACTCTTAATGCAGAGTGAGAAGTCTTGGGTTTAGACATAGGTCTGCCACTCACTAAATGAGAAAATTACTCAAATTCCTCTTAGCTTTAGCTTCTCGGGATATAAAATCTATCTCACAGGCATTTTTGAGGATTGAGTTAACTAATGTACCCTAAAGTGCTTTGTAAACTAGAGGAAGCTACTGTAACATTTTAAATAGGTAACATAAATTAGTAATATTAATATTATAGATCAACTTCAATATCACTTTTTCTTTAGCAGTCATGTGAAGTCAATACTTTTGTTGTTGTTGTTTATTTGTTTTGCTTTTTAAAGATTAGGGTACAGTAGTGTGAAGGGCTGAAAAAAATGAAGGACAGGAAGATTAATGATGAACAAAGGTCATCATTAAAATCAGCAAGAATTTGAATTCCTTTAAGTGGAAGCTCTTTAGTACCTCATGATAAGTTTTACATGAAGTATGTATATAAAGCACCTAGTTGTGGCACATAGTAAAGTTTAAAAAATAGTAACAACTTAAAAAATATGCTTTTGAATTACTCTGATAGAATAGAAATCTTATCATCTTCCTTTATCAATACTCCAAGGAACCTGTTTTTCTTGAATTCAGTGCCCCTACCCCCTCTACCACATCTTCTAGGAAAAAAATAAAAAGAAGAAAAGAAAGGAAGGAAATGAAATTAGAAAGGGAAAAAAGTAATATTTGTTTTCATTTAATTAGATGTGGGCTGTATGTAGGGAATGAAGTTTTCATGATAGTCCACAAGTCTCATACCACACTGTATGTAGTATATGACTTCTATTTGTGTATCTGAGGAAGAATCGTTTGGTTTACCAGAGCACTGGCTTTCATAGACTTGGTTTCAATACTTTTTGGCTAAGTGATCGGCAAGTCACTTAATCTTTCTAAATCTTATTTTCCTAATCTATACATGAGGATTATAGTGTATATTTCACTGAGTTATTGTGAAGATTCAAGATAATATATATAAAGTGCCTACTAGAACCTTGTCTGGAAAAGGTAGCTATTATCTTTCCTTCCTTCCTTCCTTCCTTCCTTCCTTCCTTCCTTCTTTCCTTCCTTCCTTCCCTCCCTCCCTCCCTCCCTCCTTCCTCCTTTCTTTCTTTTCTTTTCTTTTCTTCTTTTCTTTCTTTCTTTCTTTTTTTTTTTTTAGACATAATCTCGCTCTGTCACCCAGGCTGGAGTGCAGTGGCGTGATAAAGGCTCACTGCAACCTCCGCCCTCTCGGGTTCAAGTGATTCTCCTGCCTCAGCCTCCCAAGTAGCTGGGACTACAGGTATGTGCCACCATATCTGGCTAATTTTCGTATTTTTAGTAGAGACAGGGTTTTGCCATGTTGGCCAGGCTAGTCTTGAACCCCTGACCTCAGGTGATGCACTTACCTTGGCCTCCCAAAGTGCTGGGATTACAGGCATGAGCCACCGTACCTGGCCAATTATTTTAAAGACTCGAGATTAATAAACATTATCATTAATGGGATGGTGCATGATTTGTAGCAACCTTACTAGACTTACATTTGTGAAGCATCTGAATAGTTATAGTGTTGTACTGGCTCGAGCATAGAAAATCACACCAAGACAAAAGTATGCCAAATTGCAGGGTCTTTATTGCTGGCAGCCACAGAGGACTCGCATCTCTACAACCCATGGCCCCGAAAGGAGGGTGTCAAGACCTTTTATACCCATAAAACCACTTCGGGAGTGAGGGTGAGGGGCAGGGGGTGGGGGTGAGGAGCTTCAGACATTCTGAGGGCTAGTGGATTTGTAAATCACCTCCTGGGCAGAGAAGAGGGTCAGGGGCTCTGGACATTCCAGTGGATTCCTGGGCGAAGATGAGGGTGAGGGGCTCCGGACACTCCGAGGGCCAGAGGACTTCGGACATTCTGATTGTTACTTAAGTGGTTCACAAAAGTCAAGATTAGCATTTGTTTGCACATTGTCTGGGTAGGGTGGAAATTAGAGTCCTTAATTACTTATTACAAGTCACAGGGGCCAAGATAGCAAGGGTTTGGACTGCTTGCCTGTCACATTTGGGTTACAGAGAGCAGTTTCGATAGAAAGCCTAGGTATGGTTGAGGTATGCAGTTTTATGGGGCTTTTACCATGTCACAATAGCACCAAGCTGGACATTTGAAAAGACGGATTTTTTCCCCCTAAGATCTAATAATTAGCCATGTCATCTGCAAGTTATTTGATTATACAGGCTGAGTATCCCTTATCCAAAATGCTTGGAACTAGCAGTATTTCAGATTTTACATTTTTTCAGAGTTTGGAATATTTGCATATATACACTGAAATATCCTGGCAATGGAACCCAACTCTAAGCAAAAAATTCACTTATATTTCATATACACCTTAAACACATAGCCTGAAAGTAATCTTATACAGTATTTTCAGTAATTTTGTACATGAAACAAAGTCTGTGTATAAGTATCTTATACAGTATTTTCAGTAATTTTGTACATGAAACAAAGATATGAGGTCAGGTGTGGAATTTTCCACTTATGGTATCATGTCAGCACTCACAAAATTTTAGATTTTGGAGCGTTTAGATTTCAGATTTTCATAGTGGGGATGCTCAACCTGTATATACACATATTTTTCATGTCTCAAATGTGTTGGGACCCAGCCCAACCCTGTGCGTGGGTGCCCTGTGGCCCCGCAGTGATGAGGGAGTGAGAAAAGGAGATCAAGACAAAGACACAAGAGTAGAAGTTCACAGCATGGGTCCAGGGGTCAAATGTACTATCTCCAGGGGTAAACTGCTTGGCCCTGAGCTCTGGGCTGCACGTGCTTTTATTAGGTGTATAGACTTGTTAATTGGGGGTGGGGGAGCAGGGAGGGATGAACAGGGGAGGACTTGAAACTATTGGGAGAGGCCTTGAAACTAATGTGGGCAAGATAGCCAAGGGGGAGAGGTGTGGTCTGCAGTATTCAGTAGCAGACATGATTCTTATGCAAACCTAGAACACCAAGGTGCATTTGCATCAGAAGCTTAGCCCTTTAGGCACCAGCAGGTTTTTATCTACTGAGCATTGCAGACACAGAGCAATCAAGATTATTCCCTATTCTGAGAACCTAGGCAGAGCCTGTGGCATTCTGGTAACCTCTGCCCTGCAAGGCTTTTCCCCCTTGCAAGCTCCCATCTGTGAAGATCCTCCCGGATCTTGTTAGCAGAGGTCCCTTTCCTTCTCAAAGATATTGCTTAAGCCCTCTTTATGAGACTCTTAGGCAAAGTCTATGTTGAGAAGGCATTCCTGGGACCAAAGCAATATTTCCTGCTTTGCAGCCACTCCACAGTGTTCCACCGTTTTACAGCGCTCTCAGATGGTCTTTACCTTAGGCCTCCTGTTGCCGCTTGATTTCTATTTTACTGCACCAATATTTGATATAGCTTAGTTCGGGTATAAACTTCAGTGTACAATAAGCAAAGCAAGCTTATAATTATTTAACTAGAAATAACATAGGTCTGCCTCTGGCTATCTTGTTGACCCACAGAATGGCTGCATCACTATACACCTTAGTTCATGAAAGACACTGTTAAAGACAGAATGAGACAATAATAGCCTGTTGTGGGTTTGATAGAAGTTGGGTAGAATGAATGTTATTTTACTTTATTATTTTCTTCCAGTTAGAAGGTCATTTCTGTCTCTTTAGATCATGTGGCCAGGATTCTTTTTCTATATATTTAAAGATGGAAGTGGAAACATGCTAATTGTTTTATATATACATCATTGATCTGGCATAAGTCATGTAGGAAAACATGGAGAAAGTTTTTATTCAGCTTCAAAGAAGAAATCACTTAGTAAAGTTTATTCTTTCTCGTACCTACATTCTCCAAGCAATCTGTTCTCTTCAATGCCTGACGTTAATCTTAATTGACAGCTGAGGAGTAGGGTAGTGTGACCGAATCCTTTAAATATTACTGCAAGTGTTTGTCACTTGTTGCTATGTACATCTGCCAGTTTCATCAAGGAAATATGGAATTGTGAATCTGCTTTACAATGAGTATGCTTAGAACTCAGATTGGAATTTTATTTTATTTAAAACATTTATTTTATTTTATTGAGACAGAGTCTCCCTCTGTCACCCAGTCTGGAGTTCAGTGGCAGCGATCTCAGTTCACTGTAACCTCTGCCTCTTGGGTTCAAGTGGTTTTCCTGCCTCAGCCTCCCAAGTAGCTGGGATTACAGGCTCAGGCCACCATGCCCAGCTAATTTTTGTATTTTTAGTAGAGACAGGGTTTCATCATGGTGGACAGGCTGGTCTTGAACTTCTGACTTCAAGTGATCAGCCCATCTCTGCCTCCCAAAGTGCCAGGGTTACAGGCGGGAACCACCATGCCTGGCTATTTTTTCTTTGTTTGTTTTGATACAGAGTCTGGCTCTGTCGCCCATGCTGGAGTGCAGTGGCGTGATCTCCACTCAGTGCAACCTCTGCCTCCTGGGTTCAAGCAATTCTCCTGCCTCAGCTTCCTGAATAGCTGGGATTACAGGGACCCGCCACCACACCTGGCTAATTTTTGTATTCTTAGTAGAGACGAGGTTTCACCATGTAGGCCAGGCCCGTCTTGAACTCCTGACCTCAGGTGATCCGTCTGCCTTGGCCTCCAAAAGTACTAGGATTACAGGCATGAGCCACCAGACCTGGCCTGATGCCCAGCTATTTAAAACATTTTATAGGGTAATGAATTCTTTATTATACTTTTATGAAATCTCTGAAGTCATAGTATAAGAAATATATAACATAAAAATAAGCACTTTGAATATTATCTTTATGGATTATTTTAAGAAATGTAACAATATGTATAAAGTATGGGGTGTGTTTTATCACATGATGATTTTAAATTTAACAAGAACTAGAAATAGTTTATGTAAAGTTCTTGATATTTCTGTTTCCTATAAACTGTATTCCTATATACTTGAGAAGGGACTATAAATATGTGTAAAGCTGAAATTTAAAATGTCCTCAGGACTTTTGAGGCTCATACATATATTATATATGAGTTGTAGTTGCAGCATATAAATGCATCTACCCCTCATGACCAAAACATTCTGAAACTTACCATGACTTTAAGTTGTAAACAGTTTGTCAATGAGGCTCTTTTTTATCCAAATACTCTTTGTTGTTACCGATGCATCACTAGCATCTACTTATTTGGTGAATTTGCTTTCTGAGGATGATGAGATAACTGAAATATATGATAAGTTTTGCAATTAGATTATATTCACTTCTAATTGTAATAAAATACTTGAAAGTGATTATTAAATGGCTTTTCTTATAAAAGATAATTATTTTGATGTTACTGCTGCTTATTTTTTAAAGATTTAAAAAGATTTTATTAATGTAAATTACCAAATTATAGGTAAAAGCAGAAAGACTAATACAGTGAAACCCTCATGTACTCATAAGAGCATCAACCCTATCAACATATTATTATATTTGTTATGTATTATTCTATTTTTTTCTTTTAAGTGTAAATGATCTCATAAGAAGTTGGTTGCATCTTGGTATGCTTTGCCTTTTGTGCAGGGAAAGAGCTCCATCTGTCCCTGTTAGGCAGTTAATTCTTGGTTGAGAAGGTAGAGGCCAGGAGATCCACTAGGGTAAAACAAAGATTAACCCTGCTGAAAAGTTATGGGAAAGACAAAGGAATAAAATAAAACAAAAAATGTTTAAATATTAAGACTTGGATTTGATGCCACAGATGTTATGTAGGCTACAAGAAGTTTCTTTTCAGAGGGAGTAAGTAATCAAAGTGCAGTTAGAAAGAAGCTTCAGTATATGGGGAAATAAAAACCTGCCTACTTTGTAATGGATGGGTATAATGCCTCCAGGAAAAGTCTGGCACATAGAAACTCTTCTGCTCTTAATCTACCTTGAAAATTATATCCTCCTTTGTCCCTTAACTTTCCTTGTTACTTTTCTACCAATCTGTTATTCCTTAGATCTCTGTTGCTTAAATTTCTACAGTGACCCCAACGTTCTTGTATAACTTATTTGTGTTTGCCACTACTATTGTACGGTTCCGTAGCCTGATTAATTTATAGACAAGCAGCTGAGCATGGTGGCTTACACCTGTAATTCCAGCACTTTGGGAGGCCTAGGTGGGCAGATCACCTAAGGTCAAGTGTTTGAGACCAGCCTGGCCCAACATGGTGAAACTAAAAATACAAAAAAAGTAGATGTACATAGTAGTGTGTGCCTGTAATCCCAGATACTCGGGAGGCTGAGGCAGGAGAATCACTTGAACCCAGAAGGTGGAGGTTGCAGTGAGCTGAGATCATGCCACTGCACTTCAGCCTGGAAGAACAGAATTCCATACATAGAATTCCATACACAGAACAATATTCCATACATATATATACATATATATATGGAAGAGTTTAAAGAATTTCCTTGTCAATAGACAAGTTATTTTTAATTTTCTCTAAACCTTTCCATATATTTTGAGGAAATTAACAAATCCATACAACAAGCACTTAAGAAAGAGGATTATTTATGATTCTAAATAAGATACTTCTACAGGCTAAGCCACTCTAAATATGACTTAGAGTACATATGATGTTAATCATTCCTTTTGGCATTATGATTGAGCATTGTCCTTCTTATCCTTGTTTTACAAGAAAGAGTAGAGGAATAGGGTTGGCTCTCAGGCATCATCCAGATAGCATGAAAATACCACTGTCTGCACCAGCTTCCAAAACTTTTCAGTACTTCTCAGCTGCCAGCTTTCCTACCTTAAAGAAGGTCTAGCTTTTTATTGGTTTCTCACCCACAGCTTATTCTATCACAGGTATCTCTTATTGGCTTATTTTCTTTCTTCAAACCAGTGAGAGGACAGAGCATTTAACCATCGTGGGTTTAATAGCTTTGGGGGAAGAATTTAATTAAATCTTTCTTATCTCTAGGGCATGTTGGCCAATACTGCTTAAAATTCTGTTTTATGATACACTTAAAACCAAAACATACTCATTATCTATTGCCAGTATTGTTAGTAATATTAATAATAATGATAGGTAACTTTTATTCTCTTACTATATGTTAGACACTGTTCTAACCTCATTTTGTGCCATAACTTAATTATTACTAACTCCATTATGAAATAGGTACTACTGTTATCACAATTTGCAGATAAAAGACTATAGGACAGAGAGGTTTAATTAAGCAGGTTTGACAAAGTCAAACTAATTAGAAAGTGCTAGAGCCCAGATTCACACCTAGTCAGATAGGCTTTAGAATCTGTGCTCCTAACCATTTATTTCATATGGCCTCTAATAGACATGTTTAGTGTGCCTTTTGTCTTTTGAATGAAAATTATAATAGTACACAGGCTAATACTTGCTTCACTTTTATGTCTACCAATTCTAGATACTTCATTGGAATTTTAAGTAATCTAAATCTAGCAAGAGAAAATAGGCATATTAAAATTACTTGATATAGGTAATAGAACAGGCTTTATTGGAAAGGTTTTTAGCATAGGATAAACCAGTTCATTTTGAAAGCTTTTTAGCTCTCTGTGCCTGTGTTAATTTTATCATCACTTTGTGAGATGCACTGATCTTCCTGATAACAGCTTTGGATTAGGAAATTCCTTCCACATTGTCTTTTACCTTTTTTTGACTGCATTTGTTTTATAAATAAACATAGTTCTCCATCTAAAATTCATCTAATTTTGGTAAGTTCAACAAACACCTACTACGTGCCAAACATTTTACAAGCGTCTGAGGCGGGAAAAGGCATACTGTCACCATCTTGGGACTTATTGTCTACACCTAGCAAATGCTACCTGCCCGTCTCCTCTATAAAGTCTTCTTAACTAACTCCATACCAATAAAAAATGAATAATTTCTTCTTTGATACTCTTCTCAGTTTGTTCAAGCACTTTGTGTATACTTTGATAGTTGTTGTATTTCTGCATCTCTGGTAAAATTGTGAGAACATATTATGTACTCTAGTCCACACCTTATAGAGATGATGTGTCTGATAATACATCTAAACACATATTCATACAACACAATTTATAAGTACTATAATTAAGGCATAAAAATAAAAATACTATGGAAACACAAAAGAGAAAACTGTTATTGTGAGATTTAGAACATCTTGATGGAAAAATATATTATCTGGGCATTCCTTGAAATAGGTAGAGAGAAGGACAGCCTATTTCAACTAGTAAGAATGACAAAAGCAAAGACACAGGAGCCACAATAAGTGTAAGGTGTTAGAGGAATGGCAAATAGTTTGTGTGGTGAAATTAGGATGCTTGGATGAGGGGTATGGTAGTCAATAAAGTTGATTAAGATAGTTTGGGATCAGGTGGTCTTGCCAAGAAATTTAGATTTTATTCTATCATCATCCTACAGGAAGGTTTATTAGGTAGCAGGATGGAAGATTATATTTAAAATGAAAAAGAAATTAAATACAGAAATCAGTCAGGAAGCAAAGCTGTTGTCTCCGCCCCTACCACCTTGAACACACCCAATCTTGCTGATCTCAGAAGTTAATCAGTTTGGGGTCTGATTAGTCCTTGGGTGAGAAGAAGCAAAGCCATCTTACATCCTAATCATGGCTTGAGTAACACGGGTTTGAACTAATGCAGCAGCAAAAATATAAAAAGAAGGGATTAATATTGGAAATATTTTTAAGGAAGATCCGAGGGGAAGTACTTGGTAACTAATTGAATGTGAAATGAGAAAGTCAAACATAGTACGAAAATTCTGAGCCTTATTGACCACTAGCTCAGAAGTCTTACACTAACTTTTTCCAGTAACACAGACCTCTTAATTTATGCAATCTTTTACAGAGTGTCTAGGTTTATTTTCATTTTTCTAAACATCCTTTAAGTCAAATAGCACAGATTAAAAAAAATTTTTTTTATGGTTGGGGAAACTGAATTTCCGTCATGACTTGCCCAAGTTCATGTTGTTATTAAGTGGCAGCACTAGGATTCAAACTCAATTCTTTTACTTTCAGATGGTTTTGCCATGCTGAGTTTGAGGTGCTAGCAGAATATGAAAATGTCTAGTAGATGTTAGCACTTTCAAAAAAAGAAATTATAAGTAGAGAAAATCATGGATTGGATTTTTGAAACTGCATGCATTTAGGGGATTAGCTGGATAAGAAGAGTCAAGGAAGAGTACCGGAAATGAACAAACAAACAAATAAGAGAATCAGGAATGTAAAATGTTGCTAGAAAGTGAGAGCGAACGTAAGAATGAGGAAACTGATTAAAGAAAGGTAATACATGTTACGGAAAGAGAGGAGATGAATAAGGAAAAGTCATTTAATTTGACAAGTAGGAGATTATTAAAAGCTTTTAAAAAAATTTTTTTTTTTTTATAGAGACAGGGTTTCACCATATTGGTCAGCTTGGTCTCAAACTCTGAACCTCAGGTGATCTGCCCGCCTCGGCCTCCCAAAGTGTTGGGATTACAGGCGTGAGCCACCGTGCCCAACTATTAAAAGCTTTTGAGGAGAGTTTTTTTGGGATAAGGCTGAGGGCCAGATTACACTGGATTGAAGAAAATATGTGAGCTAAAAAAGAAGAGGCAGTGAGTTTCGACTACTCTTAAGAAATTTGTTTAAGAAAATTGTAGGCCAGGCGCGGTGGCTCATGCCTATAATCCCAGCACTTTGGGAGGCCGAGGCGGGTGGATCACGAGGTCAAGAGATTGAGACCATCCTGGTCAACATGGTGAAACCCCGTCTGTACTAAAAATACAAAAATTAGCTGGGCATGGTGGTGCACGCCTGTAGTCCCACCTACTCAGGAGGCTGAGGCAGGAGAATTGCTTGAACCCAGGAGGCGGAGGTTGCGGTGAGCCGAGATGGTGCCATTGCACTCCAGCCTGGGTAATAAGAGCGAAACTCCATCTCAAAAAAAAAAAAAAAAAAAAAAATTGTAAGTTGTGGCAATACCAAGATAAAGCCTTAGAAATATTTTTTAAAAATCAAAGTTTAACACAACTTTTCCCTTCTTTCCCTCCTTCTTTTATATGTTTCTCTTCTTAAGGATAACAGATGGGTGTATCTTACGTCTTTCCTCCCGACATTACACTGAGTAGAACTCCATAGTGTTCTAGGGTATGTGATCTCTCTCTCTCTCTTTTTTTTTTTCCCCCAAGATGGGGTTTCGCCATGATGGCCAGGCTGGTCTTGAACTCCTGACCTCAGGTGATCCACCCACCTCGGCCTCCCAAAGTGCTAGGATTACAGGCGTGAGCCACTGTGCCTGGCCAGTCTATTTCTTATCCCTACGTCTCTGCTAATACCTCATGCAAGACTGAGCTCAAGGACCTTAGGATATCAACAGAGTCAAATACAACATTATTTATATTTCAGACAGTATCAAAGAGTTTTAAATGGAAACGCCATTGTTTAGAAAAGATATATTTTTGGCTTCATTACTTTCTAAAATCTTAATTAAAAAAATTTTAATGTAATATTTTCATTATACCTTTGTGTTTCTGCTTATTTTTATTTAAAGGATGGAATGGCCCTATGCATGTTCATGCAAAACACCTTAACAAGATTTATGAGGTAATGCATCCTTCTTTTTAAAATATGATTTCTAAAAGACCAAAAGTAGCTTTTTACTATTCCATTATTTGTACTAGTTAAGAAATAATAGCTGATTTTCAAATTACATTTATTCTAATGATTCACTGTTTTTTTTGTGTGTGTGCCATAGAGAATAATATTTAATTACATGTTAATGAAGTATATACATATATAATTTAAAAATAAGAGAAATGAAAGTTTAGAAGAATTTAAGACATATTCCCTTTCCCTAAAGAGCTTATATAACTAGCTATATTTAGGAATAGATATTGGGAAAGTTAAATACTGATATTAGAGCATACTGATCAAGAGATGACACATAAAGTTTACCTAATAATCCAGATTAGTAGAATGTGTAGTGAAGTGGTCTATGTCCAGAGGAGAGGAGAAAAAGAACTATGGATTGGAAAGTTTTTACAGCTTTCTAAGAAAGATGAATTCACTTTGCACCTAGATAAAGAAGCAAAGAAGAAAAATTCTTCTTGGCCTATCAGGGTATGTTTGAGATTACAAACTGTGACATGTTTTGGCTGATTAGCTTTCTAATTTCATATTCTGAATGTGGACAAATTTAAAATTATGAAAACTAAGGAAATTCTTATTTATTTAAGCAAGGTTATTAATTGGACACCACTGTGTTTTTGGTACTCATTGTATCTGAGAGTCTAGAGTGAGTAATAGAATCATAACATTACTATTCTAAAATACTGTCGTCAACCCTGTTCACCTCCCATTTCCTAGTGCATTCGACTTTTTCTTAGGTAAATCTGAAATGTTATTATTTTTTAAATAAACCTTTCTACTTGGGAGCAGTGTATATTAGGAAATTTTCAGTTACTTTAGACCTGCATGTTTGCATTGTAGGTTAGAGCCTACAAAAATTCCATACTTGCAAAACATTTTTGATTTACTTTGTATCACACACCCCTGCAAAGTGGGTCTTTGCAAACAGGAAAGGTAAAAGATTTATTTTTACTGTAAAATTATGCCTTCATATAGGATTAGTCTATGGATTATTTCAGGCAATAATGAGCACATTTTTGAAGGAACCTTCATAACACAGTTTTCAAGCTCTATCTTCTGTGACACATTTCCAACCTTTGGATATAGCCTTAATTTTCCAACTTTTAACCTGATACCAATAAAAATGGACAAAGGCAATATCACGTGGAATTATTCTGAAGAGCCAGCTGCTGAAAAGTTCCAGGAGCTGTAAATTAGACAAAAGTATCCATTTATTTGGAAGAAAGTTACAATATGGCTATAACTTTAAAGTATATAATGATTCAGGGAGGTATTTTGATAAACTTACAGGCATTTATTGTGAACTATTGTATCTTTAGTATTAATTACACTGGTTTTCTTCTCATGATGTACAGGTTCAAGCTTCTATTCTTTGATGTGTGTGTGTGTTTTTTTTATGAAGCAGTGTAATAATTTTGTTTCCACTGCATTTAAAATTTTTTAAAAAATAACATTTGTAAATGAATACTGAAATTAAAAATAGTAACATCAGTTTTTCCTTCAATATACAGACTTCCTTTAATAAGTGTTGCGCTGGTTCAAGGTTGGGCATTAGGTGGAGGAGCAGAATTTACTACAGCATGTGATTTCAGGTAGGATGAAAATTGCATTAATTTCTTGCACAAGTATTATTTTTGCCTTAATATCAATGTTTTATATATTCTTAAGATAAACCTATTTTCTGAATATTTTCTTTTTGTCAGTCATTAAAGTAGATAATTTTAATTTAATATAATTTCATGATTACTTCATTATTATGTGTGTGACCCCGGCTGTGGGACCCCGACCCACGGAGGCAGGCGCTCAATAGACTCGAGGCAGGACGCGTGGTGACCGGTACCGACTTTATTGGGATCTCCGGGCGACTCAAGCGGGAAGGGAGAAATCGCACGCGCTTTCTTTGTTCGGTCGACTTTATAGGGACAGAGGGCCTGGGGCGGTAGGAGAGCTGACCTGGCGGGTAGTAATTGGCTAGGTTGGTTGCTGGGCAGGAAGCCTGCCGGGCGGGAGCTTGTGGGACGGGAGGTTACGGGAGAGCTGGTGGGGCGGATGGTGATTGGTTCAGTGGGCCGCTGGGCGGGAAGGTTGCTGGTCTTGGGCCGGGCCAGGATAGAGTGAGATAAGGGACCCTCCCTGTGGGGGAGGAAGGGCCTTCCTTATGGGGAATTAGGCCCTTTCCACATGGCTGGGGAACGGGGCCAAAAGTCCTCTACCAGACACTATGCATTTCAAAAAATTAACAAAACACATGGTTTGAGATTTTGAATAGAGCAAAACCCAATTAGCAAAACTTGTGGAAGGAAAGCTAAGGAAATATATGAAACTTTAAAATCCATTCTGAATTACACAAACAAAGGTAAGCAACTTTAAAAAAGAAAAAATAGAATGAAGAAAGACTGCTTTAGCTGTCTTCTCACCAATAAAAAGAAATTTTCTGAGATCCCTTTGTCTTCTTTCTGCTGTGATTTATAGCAGGTTTGTGGGTCTTTTGGGAAGACTAGTGAATAAAGATAGAGAAAGTTCTTTGGGACCAATAGCTCTTCAGTCCCTATAATTATTTTCAGTAATTGATAGCTATATAATATAGAAATGACATTTTGTAGAATCTAATGCTTTAGACATGTTTTAAACTGCTTTCTCAGTACCATCCCCAAGCCCTACGAATGCAGCTAGCTATAAGGAGACCAGTACAATGATTTGTAAGTTATCTGTGCAGGCTCACACACTGGATCCTCTTTATAATGCAAAAGGCAGTATATGTTGCATAATTAGAGGTAAATGGCAGAACAGTAAGAGCCTGAGCACTGACATCAAGTGGACCTAGGCTGAATCCCAGTTTGCCGCTTCTATCCTTTTGACTTTGAGCAAGTATTTTACCTTTCTTCATCTCAGTTTCTTTATAAAATGGAAGTATCTCCCTTAAATATTTGTAAATAGATTTAAATAAGATAGTGAATATATAGGTTTTAGCATGTTTAACCTAAAGTTTACATTAATATTCACATAATACTGTGGCTTAGAATTTTAATATTACCTTATACAGCTGTTTCTTACTAATGCCAATATGGTAACATTCTGGCATACTCTGAAACTCACTGCCTTTTCATTTGAGATGTTTTCCAACCTTTGGGCTAACCCTGGCCTTGCCATTTTTAAAACAATTCATTATATGCTTGATCCTGGCTAAGAAAAATATTGGAACATATATTAAGAGAAGACTTCTAGTAAACTTTTCATCTCACTTTCAGATACTGAAGAGAAGATCATTCTGTGCTGGCATGTAGTGCTCTAGATATTTTAAAACATTGTGTTGTACATTTAAAAAATTTTTAGGCCAGGCGTGGTGGCTCATGCCTCCAAGCCCAGCATTTTGGGAGGCTGAAACGGGCAGATCACCTGACATCAGGAGCTTGAGACCAGCCTGGCCAACATGGTGAAACCCCATCTCTACTAAAAATACATCCCCCAGTCCTGGTGGCACATGCCTGTAGTCCCACAATTTGGGAGGCTGAGGTGGAAGGATCGTTTGAACCTGGGAGCTGGAGTTTGAAGTAAGCCAAGATCATGCCATTGTACTCCAGCCTGGGTGACAGAGTGAGACTCTGCCTCAGAAAAATAAAATAAAATAAAATAAAAATAAAAATTGGTTGAGCTACAAATTATATACAATAAAATGAATCCATTTTAATTGTGTAGTATAAATGGATTTTGATCAATATATACACCCATATAACCACCTCCACAATCAAGATTGAGAACATTTCTGTCACCCCTATATATATGTTGTTGTATGCCTCTTCCCAGTCCGTTCCGACCTCTAGTTCAGGGTAAACACTGATCACTTTCTCACTTAAAAGTAGATTTTTGTTTTTTTTGTTTGTTTGTTTGTTTTTTTTTTGAGACAGAGTTTCGCTCTTGTTACCCAGGCTGGAGTGCAATGGCGCAATCTCGGCTCACCGCAACCTCCACCTCCTGGGTTCAGGCAATTCTCCTGCCTCAGCCTCCTGAGTAGCTGGGATTACAGGCACGTGCCACCATGCCCAGCTAATTTTTTGTAGTTTTAGTAGAGACGGGGTTTCACCGTGTTGACCAGGATGGTCTCGATCTCTTGACCTCGTGATCCACCCGCCTCGGCCTCCCAAAGTGCTGGGATTACAGGCTTGAGCCACCGCGCCCGGCCGAGCAGTTCTATTTTGAAAGAAATCTTTTTTTCTGAGCAGTAGGTCTCAACAGTGAACTTAAAATATTTAGTTTGGCATGCTATTAGCAGATATTAGCAGATTATTCAGGCTTTATTGTCCATTTGTAGAGCACAGGTAGAATAGATCTAACAATTCTTAAGGGACCTAGGATTTTCAGAATGGTAGATGAACATTGGCTTCAATGTGGACATCAGCAGTGCTAGCCCCTAGCAAGAGAGTTAGCTTATTCTTTAAGACTTTGAAGCCTGGCATTGACTTCACTTCTCTACCCATGAAAGTCCTAAATGTCATCTTCTAAAAGAAAGTTGTTTCATATACAGTGAAAATCTGTTATCTAGTGTAGCCACCTTTATCAATAACTCTAGCTAGATCTTCTGATCACTTGCTGCAGCTTCTATGTTACCCCTTACTCCTTCACTTTGTACCTTTATATTATGGAGTTGACTTCTTTCCTTATACCTCATAAACCAACCTCTATTGGTGTCAGCAGCTTCCTTACCTGCAGCTTCTGCAGCTTCCTTACCTCTCTCAGCCCTTACAGAGTTGAAGAGAGTTAGAGCCTTGTTCTGGATTAGCCTTTAGCTTAAGGGAATGCCATGGCTGGTTTGCTCTCATATCCAGGCCACTAAACCTTTCCTCATATTAGCAATAAGGCAGTTTTGCTTCCTTATCATTCATGTGTTCACTGGATTAGCACTTTGAATTTCCTTCAAGAACTTTCCTGTTGTTGCAACTTGGCTGTTACCCTGAATTTTATGGTAATCCCTTTCCTGCTTTCCTTTATAGTTTTATAAGCTAAATATACTATAATAAATATATATATTTTTGACTTCATATAAATGGCATCATATAGTAGTAGAAATAATATGAGAAAACAGTATGCTAACTATGAAAAACAGTAAATTTTATGTTAATTTTCCTTTTTTTTATAATTTATGGCTCAAGTTTCATCAATTAAAATATGTCACTTCATGCTCACGTAAATAGAGATTTTCCAGTTTTTTTGGTGTATAAGAAAATTTTCAGAAATCATTGCCACTTGAAAACTAGTATTTTCAGTAATTAGGCAGAATTCTTATGCACAATAAAAAAAGATTATTTTATATGACAGTGCCCTCTGCTGTCATCAGTGCAGATTGCATTAGAATGCTGATACTGCATTTTATTCTGTGAGGAGGAAGCAGTTATGGGCTTTAAGTTTGATATAAGACTAAACAGGAAATGCTCTATGTGTAAAAGGATTAAATGCATTCCTCATTTTACACTGAAGTATAGGTAGTTATGAAATATATAATTTCAACACATATAATATATAAATATAAAATGTATATCTAAATAAATAATTAGAGAATTTTAAGGCCAGGCTCGGTGGCTCAGGCCTGTAATCCCAGCACTTTGGGAGGCCGAGGTGAGTGGATAACCTGAGGTCAGGAGTTTGAGACCAGCCTGGCCAATGTGGTGAAACCCCATCTCTACTAAAAATACAAAAGTTAGCCGGGTGTGGTGGTGCATGCCTGTAATCCCAGCTACTCAGGAGGCTGAGGCTGGAACCCAGGAGGCGGAGGTTGGAGTGAGCCTAGATCACGCCATTGCACTGCAGCCTGGGCAACAAGAGGGAGAACTCTGTCTAAAAAAAAAAAAAAAAAAAAGAAAGAAACTTAAGCTATATGTAAGCATACATTATCACACTGAAAAATCCTCTATGTAAAAGAAAATGAAAATTAAGACATTTTAGATGTCATTTAGAACAAGTAAAAAACCTCTAACATAGATTCCAGTGTTCATCTTTGTTAGACTTTTGCACCATCCTTCATACTGATTCCCTCATCTGTGTTTAAATGTAGTTAGGGTTTAGGACAAAAAGCAAAGTAGCAGGAAAAATAATCAGAGATTATTTAACCCTTTAATACTGCTAAATTGCCTTACTGTTATTCTCTTATTGAAGAAAATGTAATGAATTCTAGAGCCTCATTAAATATTTAACTTTATTTGTTACAGAATGTCTGAGGGTACTGCCACTTTCAGTATCTGGATATGCAAGGTGCCTTTGCTGAGAAGCTTCTGACTAAAAACTTATTTATTTTTGGACTAGCTTTTCTGAAAATGGTGTCTGTTTATTAAACGTATTTTAGCACCCACATAATGCTAGGCACAGCCATTCACAAAATTTCTGTCTTGGTTTTTTGTTTCATTTTTCTAGTAGTATGTTTTTTGTTATAATTTACAAAATTCTTTGTCTGCAATCAATTAGAAAGTTGTTTTAAGAAATGAAGAAGAAATTGATCCTTGATCAGAGAAATGTGACAAGGTCTATCCTAGGCTACTCAGCCCCTTAAAAACCCACGTACCAAAAGCAACTACAGTTCTTAAGTGTTAGTGACTAATAGAGA